GGTAATAATTGAAGATATGGCATAGAGCCATTGAGACCCTTAGACACCCTCTTTCCCTCAGGTGATGCACAGTGGGTGAAGACTAATTTGTTTGTCAGCTTAGGTCCAGGGACACATGTCGCCCATGGTTCCCTCCAGTCCCAAATACTCACTGTCTCAACCATGGAAAGACAGCCTTCCAGCTGGCCAGGTCACCTGGGGACCACACCTCTAAGCTCCAATCCCGCAGGTGTGGGGGGGGGAGAGAGAGAGAGAGAGAGAGAGAGAGAGAGAGAGAGAGGAGATCTCCAGAGCAGCGGGTCCACAGCGAACCAACTAGCATAAGAACACAAGGAGCCACCCAACACCCAGCACAGTTCCTTGAAAATGAAAGCACTCCACTCACACAGACACACTACGGGAGACCACACATTTGATTGTTGGTCTGCTTCTGTGTGTTTTATTTTGGGGAAGGGGAGTGACTACAGCTTGTATAAAAATAAAGCCCAAAATGATAGGGCCCAGCATAGACCTGACATGAGAATGTTCACCCTCCTGCCAAAAGCAAACAAAGCCAAAGGAAAAACACAGCAAACATAAAACAAAACAATCCCAGGAAAATAAAAAAGAAACCCAATACTCGCACAAACTCCCAAACTAAAAACTAAAATAAAAACCCAAAGTGCAGTACCCTGCATGAACCATTTAAACCTTTCAGCTGCTGCCTGGGGCGCTAATGATCCTGGCTTCTCTCTCCAGTAACAAACCCAGGTATTGAAGCTGTGGTCTCGCGCACCGCCGAGGGCAGAAGCTCCGTGAGCTCAATCCAGTGCTCATTCCTATACAACACTGTGACTGCCTTCTCCACTGCCGAAACGCCCGCCGGGTGTGCCCTCGTTGGGGCTGCTGCGACTTGCGGGGCCAAGCCTGCGAGGTCCGGCCCAGTCCCCTAGGTCCCGTGGCTGTTGTAAATGCAAGCAGAAAGCGAGGGGACTCCAGGCAAACTTAGTATAGACTTGGCTGCTGGAGGGGGAGTCTGTTCCCGCAGGCCACTCCCAGCTCAAGTCCCCGAAGCCGTGGCACCTTGCCAGGCTCTTTTCAGAGGCATCTGTGGCATCCAGGGTCCCGCCGAGGGCCCGCTATTCTGCTGCCTATAAATGTTCCAACGTCCATGTTTCTGGAGCGCGGGTCCAGCATGGTCCCTGGATTCTCAGGGGGGTCGGACCCCACTAAATTCAATGCCCCCTTCCCCCAGACTCACATCCACAGCGAGAATTGTCCAGCAGCAGCCAGAGGCCCTGGCCTTGTCCCCTTCCACGGAGCGCATCTCTCAGGCTCCCAAGTGAAAGCGGTTCGGCCAGTGGGTGGTGGTGTTGGGGGCCGGGGTGGCTGGCAGCCATTCACTCAGTTAAGGGATGCTGACAGTTTTCCTGCGCTCCTACTCCCAGACGGGGTGCTGAGCCAGGTGGGTAGAGCCGCAGCTCTCCTGCCCAGGGAGCCCTCTCAGGGCAGCTTTTGAGTCCTATCCCATCCTGGCCTAGGTGTGAACACAGAGTTGGGGGCAGAGGATGTGGCTCTAATGGGTTTTTTGAGACTCGAAGGCCCAGGGAACCGCTTCGGGTGAGCAGAGACCCGCACCAAGCATTATTTCGGTGACACGGCGGCCTGCCATTCCAGACCGGTTGTTTAATTTGCATGAGGATTGATCTGGGACTCACGTGGGTGCATTTGAGTGTGCTGGTGCGAGCCTAGATTGTGAGGTTGCAGGGAGTTTGGGGTGAGAGTTGCCCCACTTCTTGTGACTGCTGGGATCCCGGGTCCACAGAAAGGCCTTTGCACCAGGCTGCCTGGTGCGGTTAAAACCACAGCAAGGAGGCCTGTTCCTTCCGGCTGCCTCCTGCCCAAGGTTGGCACGCCCCTAACAAATATAAAACAAAAGGATTCCCTATCCCTACCCCTCACCAGCCAGAGAGCCTTGCACACAGATGTGTGGGGAGGCCTGCAGGGCTGTATGGTCCCTGGGGAAGCCTAGCTGTGTCAGTGGGGTGTGTTGGGATCCTGTTGTGTGCACACGCCTGTTACCCCAGCAGTCTTGTTTGTACCGTGTGTGGCATAAACAGTCTCCATTTTGAGGCGGGGGAAGCAGCAAGGTCCGTCTCCCTGGTTCCCTGACCTGCATTTGCAGAGGCAGCCAGAAACTTGAGTGATTGGTTGAGCCAGGGTTTCTGAAGGGGATTGGGGGAGGCTGCAAGTGTGGTCTGCAAGGCGCCCGGGTCCTCTTTTCATCAGCCAGTTCTTGACCCCATGGCCGTTCACCTCCAACCCCTGTTGGGCCCAAAGGAGACCACGTTCCCAACAGGGGGTGGGTTGGGAGGGGCCTCTGAGGAAGGAGGCCCACTCCAGAAATGGTTTGTGGGTCACCTCAGAGCTCCCCCTTTTTCATTCAATGGAATATTTCTGAAGATTCTGCTGGTGTTTGCAGTTTTATGGATATCACTTCTGACCCTCAGAACAGCCCTTCAAGGTAAGAGCTATGGGTTTCTTTGTACAGATGTGGAAACAGGTTGAGAGGGGCAAAGAAACTAGTTCAAGTTCAAAGGGCTGTAGAGCCAGTATTCCAAACCAACTCCACTTAATCCAGCACCGAAGCTTTCCTCTTATTCCCCTGTGCCATGGGACTCCCCCCAAATACCTACTAGCTTGGCATGGGGACCTCAGGGAAGCAAGTGCAGAGTGGAAGAGAGCCAGAAAGAAGGGCAAAGACCCAGAGAGAATGGGGCTCTTTCTCGAAATCCTCACCCCACCAGAATCCTGAAGGATATGATGCAAACGCCTTCATTCCACCTTTTTTTTTGTTTGTTTCCTCCAAAGATAGTTAGGATGTGTTCTTAGAGGTCAAGGGCAAAATGTATGTTCTGCTTAGAGCATATTGGAGGGACATTCATCTTGGGGCTACGGCACTGCTGACTTTCCTTCACCAAAACTGAGCCTTTCCCTTGTCAGAGCCTCTGCTCTGGGCTCCAGTAGGGCCTGGAGTGACACAGGTGACCCTGACTAGGGAGGATTAGAGGTAATGAGTATCTCAGGCCTATAATAACCTCCTTGTCATTAAATGGGAAAGGACAGAGGGATTTATGAGGGCCCTGTTTACCTTTTATTTCTTTCAGGCGCATAAATATACCTTCTATGCCATGTTTCCATTATATTGTACAAATGTAAAGGCACCGCTGTATGTATATACATGCATTTATAAAAGTACACCTCCTGCCAATGCACACAAGTCCATCTCTGTCTGGCTGTAGATTATTCCTAGCTTGGGTGTCTTGCACCCTATAGAACTTACAATTGTCCAGGCAGAAGGGAATGCTCACCCATAGATGGGGTGTGAGGTGGTGAGTGTCACAGGCACTTGAGGGCCTTAATCTGGTAGTATGGGTTTAGCAGACCGGTTTCCCCATTTCTGTAAGCCCTGCAGATTTCCTTAATAGAACTCCAAGCTGGCTGCTAACACCTTGCACGCAAGACACCCCACAGTCTATGGAATGGCATTAAATTTAATCCCAAGTATCCAATAGGTCTAGACACTTTCTAGAACCCCCCCCCCATGTCCTGACCTGTAACTCAAGCCTGCCCTGAACAGCACTAGGTACCCCATCTCTAGGTGACTACACCTGATAACAAGAGTGTTTCCCAAGACCAGGTCCCTGAGTCTATGTCCAAGATAGTCATCAATCAGCTTCACACTGGGCTGCCTCCATGCTCGACCCTAGCCCTGTCTCCCATTCTCAGAGCCACCCAAACACAGCAGCTGAGGGGAGGATGTTTTTGACCAGGCCAAGGTGCTCCAGTCTGTGTGTGGGTAGCCCAGCTCAGATCAGACAAAACTCAGGATCCTAGAGCTGGAGCGACCTCTAGCCAGCTAGTTCCCGGTCCCCAGGCGGTGGGCCAGGAAACTCCAGAGGACTGCCGCAGGCAAGACAGGGGTTTAAGAAAGAAGAGGCTGGGAAAAGGCAGCAAGAAGAAGCTGGGGAAGGGAGTTGGAGAAGGAAGCCTGGGGAACTATTATTCATGGGTGGTCTCTTCTGGGCTCTGGGTCTCCCATTTCCGGGGCTCTGGGATGCTGGGGAAAACAGACCTCAGGCTTTGGCCGGGGCCTAGAAACGGCGGAGAGCAAGACCCCAGAATGCCCTTTCTCCTCTCCTTTCTCTGGGCGAGGCCCAATCCGCCGAAAACTGAGTTTAGAGCTTCGCTTGAGGCTGGTTTAGGGGGTCAGAACAGTCTCATTCTCACGGGGAGAAGGCTAGGATACCCGTCCGTAATCCAGAGACACTTTCAGGAAGAGAGTGCTGAGGCGAGCTCGGGAAGAAGAGAGGAGGGAGAAGGGCGAAGAAGAAAGGGGGAGACCAGGCCTGGAAAAGGCCTCACCGACAGCCAGCTGGGCACAGGCGCCACGAGGAGGTGGGAGCCAAGAAAGCGCAGCACAGGCGGGCAAGCACCGCGCGAGCCATCCCCCTGGTCCTTGTGCCTCTCCCGAGAGCAGCCGGTGCGGTGTGCGTCGCTGGGAGTGGGGAACAAGGCTGGGCAGCAGGCGGGGAAGCTCCCCCGGCCGCCGCTGAACGGAGCCCCGGCCCCCCGCCTCGAGGTTCTGGGCTCTAGTCACTCCTGGTCCTGACCCCGCAGGGCGCTCGGGAGGCTTTTCTCCGCATCTGCCGTGAGGGACACAGGGCGGAGTCCCGCGCTCCCACCTCTGTCCCTGTCCCGGCCGGGAGGAGCCTAGGGTGAGGGGCCGGCCTGAGCGGCTGAGAACTCGACAGTGAAATGGGGATCTCTTTGGTCCCATTCTCCTCTTTGTCCCTTGCACTCATGTCAATGCCCAGCGCACAACAGACACCTAAAATAATATCTACAGAATGACGACTGACTGAGTATAAGAATGGGGAGGTGGAGACTGCGGGAAGGTCGGATACCCCAGCTGAGGTAGGGTGGAGCCAGTGGTCCAGGGCCGAGAGCTGTCCTCTTACCTCGCACCAGGATGCGGCGGCAGTGGTCTGTCTCTCCGAGCCCAGGCTGCCCGTCGCTGTCGGCACCGCTCTCCCTGGAACCCGCAGGGCTGGAGGCTGAGGTCCTGGCAAGATCCCCTGGGCTGCGGCCGCCGGCATCCGCGCTCGAGTCCTCCGCTCCTCCGCGGTCCGCGCCGCGCCCGCCGCGCGACTCCCTGCGTGCGGGGCCACGGTCGTGCTCCGCGCCCCCATCGCCCATGCCGGCCGTCACCGCCGCCTTCGCCACTGCCTGGCCAGCCTGGGCCGGCCAAGCCCGCGCCTCGCCGCCCCTCGTGGCCCCCGCCAGACTCCGACTCCTCCTCTGGCCCCGCCCCCGCCGACTGCTCCACCCCTTTTCGCTGATTGGGTCCGCGGACGGGTCTTGTACGCCTAGAGGCGCGCTAGGGAGCAGCGCGCGCGGGCGGGGCGGCGGGGGCCCAGGGGCCTCACTCCCCCACCCCTAGTCTAGCCCCACTCCCAGCCCGCAGAGAGACGCTGGGGCGGCCCTCGGGTACTGAGGAATGCCCTACATCTTCTGGAGTTTATCAACTCCCTCCTCCAACCGACAGCCTCTTCCCACTCCCCGCGTCCCCAGGGAAGTACTGAGCCTCAGAGCTCCGGCTTTTCAGCTGGATCAATAGCCAAAATGCTCCAGGAAGGCGACTCTGGTGAGACCTAGCAGAAAACTGGAGGTTGGCCTGGCTCGGGTGCTTGGCAGGGTGGGGGGCTGCAGACGGGGGCTCAGGCTTAGAGTTCAGCACTTCATCCCTTCCCCCAGGCCAGGCCTCCAGCCACACTCTTGAACCCAGACCAAAGGCCCCTCCGGCGCTCCGGAGAGAGCTGGGCTGAGAACGTAGGAAAGGAGCCGGAGAGAGTGAGGCAGGGGAACTGACCGAATGACTCGCACTCGCCAGGGGAAAGAAAACGGACGTGCAGACAGATAGCCGGGTCCCAGAGCCGAGAGGTCGAGCGAGGCCGCGACTGACGGGCAGTAAACGCCCTGTTCCCCTGCGGCTCTGAGGCCTTCATACAGGAGACCGTACCCGCAGATCGGGATGGAAGGTGGACATTTCCCCGTGTCACGCCCCCACTCGTTGACATCCACCCTCCCGCTCCGCGCCGCTGTAGTCCTGGGTCCCAGGTGTCGTCTTCGCTGGGCTGGAGAGAAACGAGGACCGAGGCGAGCGCGGCTGGAGGCCCGGCGTGGCTGTGGAGCTGAGCAGTGAGTGTCCCTGGGCATTGCTCAGCCATCAGAGGCCTCCAGGTCCTCAGCACTTTCTGAGGAGCCTGTGCTCACCGGAGTTTAAACTTCTGCGACAGCACCAGGAGAGGCCAAGTTGGCGTTTCCCTTCCTTTGACTCAGAAAGGAACTTATAAGAAAGATCGAGAGAGCCCAGCAAAGACGTGTGCGTGCAGGAGGGCCCATGACCTTTCCCCTAAAGCGCCCAACAGCAGACTTTGCTTCCCATTTTTGGCCCTCGTGTTAGGGTGAGAGAGGATGCTTCTGTCCGAGGGTCTGACCGAGAGTGGGGCGGGGCCCCTGGATGTGCGGGTGTAAATGGCTGAGGCAGGCTGAGTGGGTGCCGGTGCAGCCTCCATGACTCTGATGAGCACATGAGCAGGTATATGAATGTGTATGTGTGAGTGCCTTAGTGTGTGTTTGGTGTGCATGTGAGCAGTTGAGTGTGTGTATCTGTCCAATTTCAAAGTCACCATCCTAAGGTAGGTGGGAGGGGGTGCACCAATAATTAAATTGAGTGTGCCTCAGTGCAGGGTTTGAGACACTGGGAAATGGGAGAATTAGGGTTCAGGGGAGGAGGCCAGCTGCTCCATACTAACGGAAGGAAGGAAGGAAGGAAGGAAGGAAGGAAGGAAGGAAGGAAGGAAGGAAGGAAGGAAGGAAGGAAGGAAACTTGCCCACAAGGTAATTTGAGTGTGGGAGGGGAGCAGCAGTATTTCACCCAGGGTGTGGGGCAGAGTGTGTAGGGGAGAGCAGTGTGGACCAGCTGCTGGTGCTGAGAATTTGTGGCACCCTGGAGCTTGAAAGAAAGGAGTTTTATAGTTATAGCAGGGCTCTTAGCCCTCCTAGGTAGTGTGACTCAGAAGGACCCAGCTTTGCAGGAAGAACCCATTCTGCAGGTGCAAGTTGAGCCCTGCGCTTGGTCCCTTGGGGACTGGTCCCTTGGAGACTGGCCCCTTGAATCCCACAGCGCCCCCCACCTGAGCTAGTGCTCCCCCTATCCTGGCCCAATAGGAGGCTGGTCGCTTGATCTAGCCTGTCATCTTAGGGTCGCACTTCATTCTCTTCTCTGGCTCTCTCAAGTTTATTTTTATTATTCAAGCAAGCCATGTCTAGTATGGAAAAATTCTAAGCAGAAAGCAGACACTGGACTTGAACCTTTGCAGCCACCAAGTCTGTTCCTCTTGCCACACGCAAGGCCCAGGTTTCTGTTCAAAGAGAAATGGTACAGAACCTGAACACTGCCGGGTTTTTGTTGTTGTTGTTTTTTCTCACACTTTAAAATTTTCATTTCACGAATGACATCATCCATTGCCAGTATTTCAGGTCTCCGTCCTGGTGTCCTCTTCTAAGGCCCATGCGTGGGCTTCCTGGTGCGTGCACACTCACTGTGAGCCGGCCATTTTGCGGGGAGAGGCGAGTGGGGCCCACAGGGCCCGGCAGAGCAAAGGGGAGCCGGCAGGTAACCCCGAGGAGGCTGCAGGCCAGCCCAGGTTGACTCTTGGGAGTTCCCAGTCGTCTCCTTTCTTCCTGCCCCTTTCTCTTTCCTCACTTTCTCTCTGGGCTGTATGGGAGTGGGGGGCCGAGCTGAGGCCTGGGAAGCAAAGCCCTCCCCTCCCCGCCCCCGCTGTGGCGACAGTGCATTGGGATCAGTGAGGACCTCAAGGCTTCTGCAAGCTGAGTGGGAGAGTGGTGTGTGTGTGTGTGTGTGTGTGTGCGCGCGCGTGTGTGGTGTTGCGGGGCTGGTGGGGGTGTTGGACTGGCGAGTTGGACTGAATCCAGGCTCTCCAACCCCAGGCCCGTCTCTCGTCCTTCCATACCTCCTGGAGCACACTGTCAGGGCGGCCTTGCTCCCCCAACCCAGGAGGTGGGTCCTGAGAGGCCACTGAGCTCCACTCACATCCTGCCTGGCTACCTGGTGTCCTTGCTGGATGAAGAAGACTGGGTGGATCCGCACCCGGTAAGGCTATGTGGTAGGGGAGTATGGGATCAGCTTTGCTGAGTGTGTGTATGGGTGCGCGTGTGTCTGAATGCATGTTGGGACTCCATTTGGCTCTGGGGGACACTTCTGCCCAAGGTAATCTGGTCCCAGAGCTCCAGACATTTTGAGTTCGCCTGTCACGAACTCGCCAGGATCTGGGATTCTTTACCTGGCAGCCGGTGGGGAAGGCCGGTGGGGAAGGCCAGAGTCGTATACCTGCTGCCTTTGCTCCCACCACCTACACAGGTGGTCTCACTGTCATCTTAACGGGCTTAGGGACCCAGAGAACATCCTCTGCTTCTCTATGTCCCCTCCTTTTCTGTAAAGCTCTTCAGGAACCTTAACAGGAGAGATGGGGGAGGAGGATCCCTCTGCAGCTCCAGTGTAGACAGACCCCAGGCTTTTCTGGTTCTTTCTGGGTCCCGCAGGGCCAGGGCAGCCTGAGGCCCAGCTGGGATACCCACTGTGTCTCCTCCGTGGCCTCTGCAAGTCCCCAGGAACTAGTGGGCTTCGACTTAGCCCAACAAGCGGGTCTGGGCACTGGGAGCTATTTTGTCCTGGTCTAGAGTCAGCTGACATTCTGCCACATCGTGGTCTAGGTCCTCCGCTCACAGAAGGAGTGCGTTGAGGGCAGGTCAGGAAGGGGTGCCCCCAGCCCAGCTCCACTCAGATGCTCCTTAGGACTAGGTCTCCTGAGGGTTTCTGCAAGGATCAATCTGAGTTAGGGAAAGAGACCCTCCTCTTTCTGGCCTGCCTCACTCAGCCACTTTTTCAGGGTGTGGGCCTCATCCAGTCTTTCTCCAGGGACCCTCCAGTTCCTCCCCAGTCACCTTGTCTATGCCTTTTGGTAGCTCAGTGGGTGGGACTGACTTCCCTACCCTCCGAGTTATTGAGGGCTGGGTCCCAGCAGCCTTCAGTGGATCACAGTGGACCCTCTGGGGGGGAAATGTGTGGAGTGTCCTGTCCTGCATTCTAGGGGAGCCAAGGTGTGTATGTGGTTGGGTAGGAGTCAGGGCCTGGGTTTGCCCAGGTGCTGCTCCTCAACAGAGCCCTCCGGTCCTGCACTGCCAGTAGATTGGAAGCTCTGGCTGGAGCCTCCAGGGTCCCCTTACATGCTCAGAACCTGGAACATGGGAGGTTCAGACCTGTGTCTGGACGTTCTTCCTTCTGTGTTTCTTAGGTGCTCTGACAGGTGCATCCGGCCAGCTCTCCAGGCCTAGACTTGTGGCCTCAGCTCAGCCCTGCTCATTCTGGAGCCTCTTCCCTCTGCTGAGGCTGGTCAGGCCTCCTGTCTGGGCTGCTGGCGGGCCTGGGCGAGTGTTCATCTGCTTCAGGTGCCCCTTCCTGCAGGCGTCCCCTTCTTTCCAGTCCTCCCCCTTGGCCTTTCAGTTTCCACCATCCTGCTCCCCTCTCTCAGCCTCTGCATCTCCCAGCTCATTCCCCAGAGCCAAAGGTTCAGAAGTCTGGGTTCTTCTGCCCTGCCTCACTCCCTTTCTGTCTGGGTCTCTTGTCCACCTTTCTTCTTGGTTCTGGGGTCCCACTCAAAGATCCTTGGGAGATACTGGGTGGCACTTGTCAAACCCCTAGCCATCACTGCTGGGATGGAGGGTTCCCCTGCAGTTGAAGGGCACTGAGGGTTTGGGGTGAACAGGGAAGGACACACCTCAGAAACTAAGCTGGGGAGCACAAGCCCTAGCTGGTGAAGACAAGCCATGCATCACTGCCTTCTCTGACCTACCTGTGCTCCCCACAATGTGCCTGGGAGCCAGACCTCTGTGCTGGCACAGTAGGAGGGACCTACTGTCCCACCCGGTGGTTGGGAGGAGTTGACATTTTAAAAGGAGATAGGATACTGTTTACATAGAGCACTATTATTTTTGTAAAACACAATAAAATGTATTTATTTCTGAAAAGAGCAGCAGAGCTGAAGGCCGGCAGCTATAACGGTGAGACAGGTGATTTCTTGGGATGGCAGGAGAGGTGCTGGGGCAGAATGAGG